AATATATAAATACTTACTTGAAAAAGTCATTCTGGCAGGGTATAGCTATGTTTTGCCAATCAAGGGTACAACTTAAAGCAAGTTAATGTACAGCAATATCAGCATAATGCACCTATTCAAACAGTTAATCAGGGATGTCATTTTAATCAGAAAAACTGAGGTCACGTCAACTTAACTATTAAATTGAGGTTTTGGATCTCAATATTTCACTGAATTGTCAATCAGGATAATGTACTGAATTTCAATACTGCGGGTCCAACCTAACAACTTCTGGTTTAGAGGTGATACTTCAGCAGCTGAACCCATGCTCCAGCTTTGAAATCAAATCAGTATATATGTTGGGATCTGCATAGTTCCACATGCTATAAAATTGGCTTTACCAGCAATTTTGGAAAAAGGCCTTAGTTGTTTGCTCCCCTTGCAAATTTAACATTATGTGAGCACATTAAAGCTATTTTCTCGAACAATGGTCATTCTGATCCTGGTTTATTTGATTTGATTTGATTTATTATTGTCATATATAGCAAGATACAGTGAAAAATATTGTTTTACATGCTAATCAGACAAATTATTCATTACATAAGTACATCAGGTATTTGTTCCATTTTTTAAAAACAAGCTGCGGCTCACAGTGCAAGTCACCTTCAACTCTCAGCTCTAAACCAAAAATGGTAAAATTAATAAAATTAAATAATGAAAAATCAGAAAGGTTCTAACACTATCACAACTCTGTGTAAGCATTTCAGTATTGTGCAAGCCAATAAACCTCAGCTACTCAAATCAAACAATGTTTCGTTAGGCAGAGTACTGACTGTACACAATGCCCGCACTTGAAATAACCATAATAAATGATCCGTAATGTGGTATTCCATGATAGTTTAACAAGTGCTGCACAATCCTGAAATTGTTAATAGCTACACTAACAACCAATTTAACTTATTTGGTCATGCATGTAACATGGCCCATTTATGCTAGCCAGAAGCAATACACATTCACACATAGGGACCTATTCTCTGCAAACAAAAATAATATGCTGCAGTCTCATTCCTTTTTGAATTACCAGGGAGCTTGGGCAGCCTATAATTCCTTGTTGCATTCTTCAAGGCAATGCCATAGATAAGTCAGAGTCAATTTACCAAACAATCAGCACCTTTTCCCCTGTATTATGATGACTTGAAATTTGGCATTGAGTTTTTTCTGATGAATGTAAGATGAACAATTTGTATTTGGTAATTTGGTCCATGGGGAGATGGTGGTGGTAGTGGTATTATCACTGGATAATATTCCATAGACATAGGCTAATGCTCTGGGGATATTGCTTCAAATCCCACATAAAAGCTGGCTCAACCGGCGATGCCCAAATCCCTGGAATTAATTTTTAAAAGCTAACTTAAAGACATTAAAAGCAGGTGGAAATTGTTTGTCTATTGACCATGACTGTACTCAAACTTCCAATATATTCAACATACTTTACAAGAAAACTGATTCCTCATATTGAATCAATTGCTCT